TTAAAATCTTGACAATCAGGCCCCAACACTTCAGCGGCGGCTCGGCTCACTTGCATATGGGATCTCAATATGACTCGTTTCTGGAGGCTCAAGTTCGTGATTATGTTGTGCAACGAACTCTTTAATCTTGTACTTTCCAATCGACCTCTAGCCTTGCATGATGTTCTTTCTTCCCATCGATGGACGACTCCCACCCTCCTTTTATCTGCAACTCTTTTACCCTCCTTACGACAAACAAAAATTGCGTTATTATATACCACATCATTTTGGATTTTATTGCGATAATTTATTCTAACCCCAAATCCCATCAACTTCCCATAATTTTTGCCAACAATCTCATGCTTCATCAAGAGTATTAAAAATCATTCCAACTCTTGGTTCATCCCATAATTTTGCCAACAATCCCATGCTTCATCAAGAGTATTAAAAATCATTCCAACTCTTGGTTCATCGTTTGATGTCTGGCCGCTATTTATAGTGTTACCGTGCATCGCATCATCCACAATTTCCTTGTCAATATTTGTAGAATTTTCAAAAATCAAATCCTGCTCACACTCAGCAGAACATATGTTTCTCCTACATATAAGCATATACACATAGAATTTTAGCAAAAAATAAAAAATACACAATACAAACACATACCATCAGTTAAACACATAAATATTATTTAGAATTACATTTCTTTCACCCATCACCTAAGCAAAACAAAATAATATTCAACCCTCCAAGCGCATTTACAATGAACAACAAGAACATAGAAAAAAAAATTGAAAAACTTACTTTGTAGGGTTTTTCTTTTTAGGTTCTATCTTTTTACCAATTTCATGAAAAAAATCATTGTCTGCTATTGGGTCCAAACACATTGAATCAATTTCGATATTTTTCTCGGACCAAATTTCTTCTGTTGATGTGATGTTTGGAACATCATGTTGCTCCTCCATGCTTTCTCCTTACGCAGAGCAAATCCTCCAAGAAAAATATGCAAAAGGAAACAATTTAGCAACTGGAATACAAAGAGAAGTGCACTTTAAGAATTTATGAGTGATAATATTTCTTAGAATTGATAATATTCCTAAATCCTAATGCTCTGCACGAAAGTATCTCTAGGAATTTAGCAACTCATGATGGGAAACTTAAACATTTTCATATTCAGCACAACAATTTCTGTGAGACTTGCTAACTCAATATTTGATTATGTTCAAAAATTCCAATGTAAACCTACAGAAACATAGCATATAACAGACTACACATTCGTCTTATGATTCTCACAAATTCGACAACATACAAAAGCCTTAATAATAATTTCACCTCAAAATCTCCAAACTCATGACTTCAAATTGAGAATTCATATCATGTTACAGAATTGAGAATTCAACATGGCTTCAAATTACAAATCCCTGTTCAGCTATTCAAACATTCATAAGCCAGAACACATATACGGCACGCGAAACACATAATCGGTAAACCGAACCATAATTTCGATAACTCAGAATCGAGAAACGATAATGCAAATAATTCAATCGGGCACTCGAATAAACAATCGGTATCCCAATCACTCACTTCAGAGGTTAAGGAGATTACCGATCACCGGAACAAATCGGACGGAGTTCAGCTCGCCGTCGCCGCCGCTTGCTGGACGGAGTTCAGCCGTCGAACGTCCTGTCGCCGCCGCTCTCTGTCAGTTAGTCACAGTCGCCGCTCACCTTCTTCTCCTCGTCGCCGGCCGGAGTGTGCGTCGTCGATTGACAGAAAATGGGATGTCGAAACGGAATGCAGGTCGCCGGCCGGGTTAGGGGTTGTCGGTCTCCTCCTTCGTCGCCGGAGTTATCGCCAGACAGAGCTTCGGAGTTGGCTGCGGCTCACCGGAACGTACGGATGTTGGCGGTGATAAGGAAAAACGAGGAAGAAATTTTTTTCAGAAATTCATATAGAGTGGACTGCAGTGATTGAAAACTTCAGAAGACTGTTAATTAGGTTTGAACTCATAAGAAAAATTTATTTTATCATTTATTTATAGCCATTGATCTAGTTTTAGTTTTATCTGATCCAAAGGCTGTAATTTAACAGCTGGGGCTGCTGTTAGTGGGTCACAGCAGCCCCCCTCAACCCGACAATTCAGTCATTATGATACAGTAACAAAAAGTCAAGCTCGAATTTCACCGGTCAAACAAAATTGTATCCAATCACCCTCCAATCCAACATCCCAACGTTCCCAATTCTATACTTTCCACTTTCCCAAAAAGCCCCTAAAGAAATAGCGTAGCACCACCATTGATCCACCATGCGATAATGAGACGTACACATCACAGATTCACAAGAAGCCAGTGTGAGGTGAAGTCTACTCAGCAAGTCACAATATTCGAAAAAATAAATTAAAATCCCCCAGATCTTATCCAAATGCCTTAAAAAACATTAAATCCAACAAAAACAAAAAAACAGAAAAGCCATATGTCTAATTCCAATTGCAAAGTCTTATCTGCAACACATTAGAAACAGCTTCCCTGCGCCACAAACACGCACTGTAACTCCCAAATAGAACCT